GTTATCATTAGTTATGCACTATTTCAGTATGAAGTAAAGATTTCTTTAAACAGCATTAACCTCACCTCTTTCAGCTCTTCATAGGTTATCGCCATAACATTTTCATCATCCATATGCTTGTTCCATTCAACTAAATAATCAAAATAGGAGCCCCAACACACTGGAGAAAAAAAACCCAGAAAATCAGAATGATTCAGTAATAATGAGGTAAAGATAAACTGAGACAAGGAATGTGGACTCCTTTTATAGGCTTAGGATGACTTCATGGTGTCAGACAGGGTTTTGAGGTGAGGACTACAGTAACACGATTTTGCCACTGCTCTTCTGAATAGGAACAATAAGTGTTGCTTCCATCTGACGGCTAGTACTGGCCACTAATGGAAGACCACACATCTGGTAGGTGAGTAATTCTTAACCTGGGGTGCACGCACCCCCTAGGGGTGCGAGATGCCCTTTTTGGGGGTGCGAGACATGCCAGATTTTTTTAGAAGGTAAATCATTGAAAACACAAATTAAGCACAGGCATGTAAGTACAACTACTTTGTGTCATCAAATCTATGTATTTATTAACATTATACGTTTTTAAGGGGTGCAAGAAGGGTGATAAGGGATGTGAGAACATATTTTGAGAACCAAAGGGGTGCAGGCTGCAGTAAAGGTTAAGAACGACTGTACTAGGTGGAAAGGACTAAACACCCTCTTAACCACCTTAGGGACATAGCGTAGAAGCTTTCCAGCCAGCTGAACATTCCAGCGCACTCCTGTTTGCCATGGAGACATCCTGTCTGACTGCTGGCTGGGTCGGAAAGGAGGCTCTCCTTTGCACTGTTCCCTATCACAGCTGAGTGAGTGATGGATTTTTTGGTTCAGTGAACCAAAAAATCCAAAAAAAGAATCTGGCTTGAATTGAACCAAAAACAATGTTTAATTTTTTATTTATTTTTTTGCTGAATCAAAAAAGTAGAAAAAAATAGTTTAAAATCAACCAAAATGTTTCATTTGACTCCAAACAAATTTTATTTTGAGTTATTCATTTTGATCCAGCCGTTTTGGATTCTTTTCACCCTTTTTGTAGTCTTTTCTTTAACTGACCAAATTTGAAAGTGAAATGCGATTTTGAATAGAAAAGTTTAACAAAATATTTCAAACTGAAACAATCAAAATGAAATGATTCAGAATGATTGAAACAAAATGTTTCCTCTGTTTAGAAATTTTATTTCCAAACAAAACTATTTACCAAATTCAGCCTGAAGTCAGCAAATACTTTTGACTCCCAAAAAGCAATTAGTTGAAAACATTTTGCTCACCTCTATTCCCTTCTTTATGCACCAGTGGGAAGAATTTTAGCCTTCTACCCACTAAATGAATTCAGCTTATGCATAGATTAGCAGAAAAAAAAGTATA